TAGATTGTTTCGTCCATGAAATCCATAAAATCCATGAAATCCACCCCGAAATTCGTAATCAGCAGCCAAAAATACATTAAAAAAAACTTGAGTGGACCAATCAGAATTAAAAAGCCCACGATGACCTAGTCGACACGTAGACTAAAACTTAAAAAACTTTTTATGTAAATTAAATGCAATCTAGCGTTACAACGTTAGTAAATTAAGAAAAATAAGCGTGTTTAGTTGATAATGACGTAAGTCAATACCAAACATATTAATATATCCACATTATAGCAGTACATTTATTTTAACAAAATAAAATTATTGTAATGATCTCATTTAAATGCATGTGAATCTGATTGAGTAATATTTGTATAATTTAAAGGTCTAAAGTGGGAAAATGATACTAATATGATACTAATATTTAAAAGTCGTCTAAATTACTGATAGTCTTAATTATATATGTAATATAGATAGTCTAAATTACTTACAGTTACGTTATTACTGAAAAATAGACAACTTTGCCCCATTCTTTAGATGCTTTCGTTTCGCTTATATTTGGCTGATGCTTCAGTAAGAAAATATAGTAGTCTTACAAAATTATGTCAAAATTGTGAAACTGAACTGAACTCACTTATCACCGAAGAGTTAATTATTTTATGTATTCTCTATGTTGTTTATCAAAATGAACACATTTGACGAAAAATAGTAAAACCAAATCAATATCAGAAAACCAACTAATCTATACTTTTCTTTTTTTACTGTTACATTCTAACTATGTCAAATTAAGTTAAAATTTTTATAATATAATGATTCTAGTTATAATTGTATTTAATCTTATTTAAAAAAAAAAATTTATTAAATATAGTAATTTCTCAGATAAGAAACCCTGTTGAATGCTATTTAAAGTGGATGGACTCAAATTAGCCTCGCATCCTATTCTCTGGCCATATCTAAACGTACATATATCGTCGCTGTGAAATCAAACCGGCATAAGTGCAAAAAAGTTATTTTTGAAATATCAGTATCAAACAATTTCTTTTTTCATTTTGTCTATTTGTATGTCTAACCGTCATAAAATTTGGTTTAAAAAGTCCGTTGAATGGTATTAGGCAAGCTTGCATAATGTTGACCACTTTGCTTAGCAGAAACCAGATCTATTGCGAAATGCGCCAGTCTCTTCCTAAATTTTAAAGTCAAAGATTATGCGTCATGTAAGTAAAATAGATTATCTCACAATAGTACCTTTTCTCATCATCCTAAAACTGAATTATTGGCAGATAATCCTGTTTAAAATTAATATACATTATTATTAATGGCACTTAAGCCAAATATCTGTTTTCTGTTAGAAAACGGGTATTGTAGTTGTGTCTTCTGCCAAAAGTTTCTCTTAGAAAATTATTTAAGTGTCAACTAAAACAGAATTAGGTGTCGATAATTCAGTTGGAATAATTTTAAAAGAGAATTTTAAGCAATATTTTAGAATACATGGTTTATTCTGCACTAATGCATATTTTGGGAGATACGTCGATTAATTTTATTGTTATTCTAATACACCCTGATATTTTAAGGATAGATATACATAAAAAACAAGATTATATCAATAAATTGTTTATTTTTCATGGAGTGAAATCGATTTTGTTACTGCAACAAAGGTTTTGTCCGTTTAACATTCAATAGCACTCTGCATCAACGTAGAGCAAACAGTAAACAACAAATCTTTCGAAAGATTGGTTAAAAATCGTGCCTGTCAAAAACTTTTAACACCTTTGACCTCTCCGACAGAGCAACTCTTACAACTTTAGAAAAAACAGACGTAAACAACGGCGTGGTAAATATAGAAATAGGAGGCAAGAATTGAAACGATCGGAAATTGGATAAAAAACTCGTGAATAGTGCAAATGAAATCCATTTTGATGTTTAAAACAATAGGGAAAGGCAATATATTTTTTAGTTATAACCTTGTAGCATTTTTAAATTCTTTAGTATATATTGAAATCACCATGTATGTATTAAAACACCGACGAATATTTTCAATGTATTTCTGTTTCCTATCGTATTTTCTAAAACACCGAAAAAGTATTTTCAATCCTTCAATCAATGTTAATTTTTTAAAAATATATTTTTTTTGTAGATAACAATGAGTCGAATTAATTGAAAAAAGCCGTTGACGTACGACGAACTTGTTGAATTGATAAACGACTTATCAGACATTGAAGTTCTTAGTAATGATGGAGACGATGGATGGGAAACAGATTTTCACGAAGAAAATGGTAATGTTTATAAGACAATATCAGTAATGTTAGTAAATATTTTTTTTATATTTAGGCTTTCGTGATTGCGCTGACGAAGCAATTGCCACAACGTCAGAGGAAGTGCAGCTTAAACAAGGAAGTGCAGACAAGCAAGTAAATTCTTCAGAGGTACTAGATGTTAAATTCATTAAACGTCAGCCCGTGTCCTCTACTGTCTGTCAAAAAAATATTAAAAGTAGTAAAGCCGCTCTTCTCAATGAGTATTATGTAGAAAATGAGCTAACGCCCAAAAAAAATATATCATGGCGAAAAAATGTGCAACTTCAAACGTAAATTGGTTTGAACTAGAGATCGATTGCCTTTCTACGTTGAATAGTCCTGTGCATTTTATGAAAGAATAATTTACTCAAGAACTTTTTACTATAATGGCATAAAATACCAATCCTTATGTAATTTAACAACATTCCCGATTTTTGCCAACAACAACATCAGAATTAGAAATTTTTGTGGGATTGCACATTATAATGGAAAACTTGAGCTACCCAAGATCAACAAGGAGAACAAATTGCTCGTTCCGATGGTAGCAGATAATATGACTCGAGACCGGTTCTTCAAATTATGCCAACATTTACATTTTGTGAACGTAGAAGAGAAGCCGATCAATAGCACAGACAGATTTTGGAAGGTGCGGCCACCGTACGACATTCTTTGCTCCAAAATGCTACAATTACCTTTGGAAAACACATTGAGCGTTGATGAACAAATGCTCCCTTTCAAAGGACGTCTAGACGTAAAACAGTACATTAAGAGAAAACCATGTCCTTGGGGGATAAAAATATTTGCGCTATGTGGCACCAATGGTAGAATGTATGACTTTTTAATATACCAAGGTTCTTCTACAGAGCTCAATTCCCAAGAGAAAGAAGCTTACGGACAGGGGGCTGCAGTAGTTCTGAAATTGTGTGAGCGAATAAAAGAAAATAATGTCAGATTATTTTTTTACAACTATTTTTCAAATTATAATCTCCTCCCAACTGTAAAACGTAAGCACATTTATGTATCATGCACTGCTCGAATAGACAGATATAAAAATCCGCCATGATCAAGTGATCTTGAAATGAAAAGACAAGGCCGTGATACTGCCAGGAATTTCTAAGTGAAGACGGAGAGGTCGTCTTTACGAAATGTTTTGACAACAAGCCGGTGGTAATGACCTCGAACTATATCAGTGTGGGTACGGTGGACCAATGTAGAAGATAGGATAAGGTGGCGAAAGAGTATATTAACATTCCACGACCAGAAGTAATAAAGCATTACAATGAACATATGAAAGATGTCGATAAAATGGACTTTTTAATTACTCTCTACCGGACTTTCATTCGAAGTCGCAAGTGGACTCTTCGACTTTTCACTCATGCTATCGATTTAGCTTGTACAAAGGCGTGGCTTAAATATAAGTCAAAAGCAATGGTACTCGGTGTACCCAAAAAGATGGTCTTAGACCTTTTACACTTTTGGGCGCATGTTGCTGTAGCCCTCATTTTGGGTAACAAAATTAATTAAGCAAAACGCGGACGTCCAGTAGATACACCTCCTTCTATACCCTCCACAAGCAGAGGACGACAAGAACCAGCACCCGTAGACGATGTTCGACTCGATCTATATGGCCATTTTCCAGTTTTTGATGACAAAAGTTTTGCATTTTGCTGCAAATTTCCTTCATGTAAGAGAAGGACTCACATAAAATGTGAAAAATGTAATGTTAACCTATGTGCTAGTAAAGACCAGAATTGTTTTAAATTAAATCATATTCAATAGAAGCTTTTTGTGTTATTATTTCTCAAAAAAATTAAAAATATAAATATTTGATCAAATATTTACCGGTTACCAATTGTACCGTTGAGTTCCAGTGTGCACTGTGGTGTACATATCGTAACTCAAAAACTATTAAACTTAGGCTTTTGGACAAAACGTTAAAAAATTACAAAAAAATAATAATACTAATGTGCCAAAAACCAGAATTTTTTATCATCGTAAAATAAATCAGGACCGAAATGGTTAAATGCATACAGTAATCACATTTTAAAGTCATAGCTGCATCTCTCCATTTTTCTGGATCTATTCATAAACCTGACTATTTGTTACGAATACTTCAACAAGCAAGACATTTTATAATTATTGTATCGTACAAATTGTAGCTCTAATGTGAAATAAACGGTATTTAGATATCGATAAAAAATTAATTGTAAAATCTTTGAAACGCTTTGGTAAAAAATGTTTTTCTTGCATTTACGGCGGTTTAATTCCACAGCGACAATATGAAAATTTTCGTTTGTGTACAACGAAGTAAAGATTTCAGAGTAAATGAGACTTTGAGTAGGAGTTGCTGAAAGAATGCTAAGATAATTGCAAATTTTCTTCCTAAATTAAAATTTTTCTTTTTATTAAAAAATCAAATAATATAATCTAAATCGTGTTAATTCCCAACTTATGGGTTAGAACAAATGATACACAATATGAAAGTGCCATACGAAAGAGCGGCCTTTTTTGGCACAAAAATATGCTGGAAAGTCTACTTTAACAAGAAAAGAGAAGAAGTTAGTATTCAAGAGAAGAAATGTATTGGATAATTGGTAAAAACGCTAAATTGTATACTTACAATATATTAAAAAAAATAGTACATACCTATATAAGATTAACGCAACCACCAACATACCCAAAATAATGACTAAAATTAAAACCACAAGCAAAATTTTCACAACATCATATGCTGAAAAAACAGTTATTAGTAATCGGTAAAATAATTATACATCAGTAGCTTACTCACTAGGACATTTAGACATATCGTATCCACATTTAGGTGTATCGCTAATTTGTTTGAAAATATCATGTACTTTCCAAACCGTCACTTGTTTATATGTCGAATTGTATAGACCTACAAGTTCGAGAACTCCGCTGGAGTTCATGTGAACTAAAGCCACTTCTCTTGTTCTGACACCATTACAATTCATCTGAAAAGATTCGTTGTTTCTTCCTAAAAATGAAAAATAAAATGTGTCACTAGTGCAATAAATACATATCTTATATAGTTCCAACCAAAGTTTTAATTATTTGTAAATTAAGAGAAAGTTTATTGAGTCAGTAGCGCAAATCGCATCCTGAAAAGAAAGAATGCAAAAGTACTTGTTTCTATAAGTATTACTTTATATAAACAATTACAGCATACCAAAAGCACTTAAAATTACTGACTTTCTTAATGAATTTAATACAATAAAAACTTGTATCAAAGTAATTCCATGAGAGTTCAGCTCTGGAAATTGTAAAGAAATGTCACCTAATAATGTATATTCTTTTTAAATCAATTTTTTTGGGCAAAAAACGTTTTAGAAATATTTTTTGTACTTAACCTCAATAGAAACAACTTATGCGTAATTAAATATTTCTTTCGTCTTTAAACAATGTAAGTAATACACAAAAGTAAAAAAGTGACACTACAGGAACCTTTCCCAAGTTAACCTCCTTTTATAACTTGACTGCATTGATCTAAAATATTTAAAGAAAACTATCATAATATAAATTTAATTTCATGACCAATATACTCGATTTAATAAACAAATAGGAAAATTATTTCTGTAAACACCAAATAGATAAGAATGAGTAATGGTTTTTCTAAGCTATGATAAAGCAGATAGATATAATTGCAATAGTCGGTTTTTAATAACCAATTATGTCAAAGGCGCGGGTATAGGAATTCTTTGAATATAAAATAAAAATCTTTTGTACACAGAATTTTGAAAACAAGGAGAAAGCTTTCAGTAAAAGGTGAGGGTAGATAATCTTGATGTTAAGTTATATTGTTATATAGAGACTTGTAAACAAAAAGAAAAAAATTATTCATGAAATTGGAAATACCAAATGATATAAGGTCATGACAACAGCAAGTTTGTTTACTGAGAAAGTATTGACTGTGATAAGTTGGAATTTAAGGCGTGAAGTGTATGACGCTGGAATCTGGTTGGTAGAAGCGGAAGGTAGAGGGAAACGACGCCAAGCTGATTTTGCGATGACGGAGAAGATTGGACTGTGTTTTGAAGTTCTGAAAAAGCCGGTTGTTTTGTTGCTTCATAGCTGGCAGTAACACTGAGCAGAGTTGCTTGTAAATAAAAATTGTGTGTAGTGTGTTATGTGTCTGTGGAAAAAGCCAAAGGAGTGGTAGCAGTTCAAAGCAGGATTTACATCCTGCAGTAAGGAAAACAGGTTTACCATGTATGTAGTGCTAATCGAAGTAAAAATCCTTTCGATTAGTAAGAAAGTGTGTTCCTGTGGGATAGGTGTTTATCCAGGAGGTGTTTTGGAGAAACTGTAGCGGCGCTAGTGTGTGTGAGAGACTTTCCCTAGCTGAGGAGTGTGTGAAACATCCAAGAATACGAGCAGTAGATTGTCAGAGCACATTCAGAAGAGAAAAGGAGCCAATAGAAAAATTGTGTAAATAAAAGGTCAGTCTGATATACAATAAAAAAATGACTTTCAACCAGACTCGTAATGATGTCATAACTAATTTCTTTTCAAACTAATTTTTTCAACATTTTGTTCGGCTATTCGCTTTCATAATAAATATAAAATAAATTAAAATAAATTTAATTAAGAGATCTTTCTTTTTGAGTACAAGTCATAATAAGGATTGATAATTTGTGTATAAACATTAGAGAATTTTTAAGTTTAATTATACGTATTAAAGCATAGGTTACATGTTTGATTTAATAATTAATTTATTTGATTTAATGATTTGAAAGTAAATTTTAAAAATTGTTTGATATTTTATCACAAATTTTCATTTATTTTCCCATTGTCCATCTTTCCCTCAAAGGCAATAGTAGAGATATTACTTTGAAGCCACATACAACTATTAACGATAAAAAATTCAAAAATATCCCTGAGATTAATAATTAATTAAGAAAAATTTATTTGTTCTTGCAAAATTAAGCCTAAGGCAAATTAAAGTTTAAAGAACATCATAAGGGTGATCTTTTACAATTCATAGTATATATATATATATATATATATATATATATATATATAATATATATATATATATATATATTATATATATATATATATATATATATATAAATGGAAAGGTTGAGAATGAGACCCAGGAAGATCTGTTAGAGACTCAAGAAGTCAATAAATGGAACAATATTAATACTTTCCTAAAATGCTGCTTACCTATAAAAGTGTTACCCATCGAGTGATATAACAATTGACAGGTGGAAATATTAGTGTCCATATATCCATCTGACACATTGTTGAGCGACTGTGTAAACATCATCATTCCATCATATATTGCGTCCAAATACGAAGATCCTCTGATCCGGGATGTGTTAGCAACAGCTTCGTAATCAGTTTCGACCATAGGTAAAATGCTGTATACATTTTGGTAACCTATTTTGGCTAGATTATTGTTTTCCACTGTATCGTTAAAACTTATCCATGGTTGGGACGGAATGTCTGCACTAAAATATTATTAACTTTAGAAAATAAATGTTAAACCTATGTTAAGAAGGCTTTAAGAAAATAACTACTGCCATGTAAGAGCGACAAAACTTAAATTTGTTTATACTAGTCTTATATCTACATTTTCGTGCACATTATGAACAGAAATATTAATATCTAAATAAAATATAGAGTAGTGGTCGATGATTCCAGAACCCGGCCAGTAAACAAAAACGCTAACGTAGTATAGTCCGTCTAGAAAGTATCCGGAAAAAAGAAAGCAGAAATATAATTTTACGGTATTTATTTCTATCACTTGAAACAAAAAATTTCAACAAATAATTTATCTAATTAACCTATACAACCTTCATTTAAATCTAAACACTTAACTTAACGTCCAGGTACACTCGAAACTAGGCCAAGATCATAATTTTCGGTAATAGTGTTCCAGGCCTGTAAAACTGACCGAATCAAACCTTGTTTATCTCGTGACGCTGCTCGTTCCACTTCAATCTTCATCAGTCCCCATTTGTTTTCGATGGGGCTAAGATCTGGAGATGCTGCTGGCCACGGAATTGTTGCCAATTCGAATTCTTGTATCCAATCTAGAGTATAAGCATTCTTAAGCCATTAAGATGGCATAGTAAGTATGGCATATTGCATTATCTTCTACATTTGATACTTCTACAATGGTACTATCAACAGTACATTAACTATACAGAGAGGTGTAGCACCACGCTGAGATATTGCTTCCCAAACCAATATTTTAGTGGAAAATTTGGAAATTTGAACGGTAACATTTTCTCTTGATAGGACTTTTAGATGATTTGTACCAAGCTGAAAACAACTTTCATCAGATATAAAGACATAAAATTATCTTCTCGAAAATGTTGACAAAAATCTATTCTTCATTGCCTTTAAAGAGGTGTCATTTTAGGGATTTTTTTTAAATTGCTTGATATGTAGCCTTGCTTTTTCAGTAACATGCGGACAGTTTCTGGGCACACTTTGATTTCCAAATCTGTTCGCTAATTTTCGAAACCCTAGATGCGGATTTTGTCGTCCTAAAGCCACTAAAGCATTTAAATTGTTTCCGCGAATCTTACGCGGTCCACCCGAAACTGGTCTATGTTTCATATCTATGCCATTTATTCTCTTTATGGTTTCATACACTGCACTTTTTCCGAGTTCAGTCAATTACACTAATTTTTTAACATTTCGGACACCCTTTCTATACAAATATTCCACCACTTTTCTTTTTTCTACTTGTGACTAATTCTAATTCAGAAATATTAAGTCTTTTTACAAACAACAATATTTGACAGATGGTGTTGTCATACGATTTTGTCCACAACCTACTTATTACGGTGCAGTAACCTCGGAGGTCAGCAACCACAATAAACAGTTTTGTCAGCATTTAATTTTTATATAAAAGAAATAGTAGTGTAATTAAATTTAGTTATATTGATTAATAAAGCAGTGCAGTATAGTTGTAAAAGGTATTAAAGGGTCTTTTTAAAAAGTACCTTTGTGAGTTTAAACCTTTAAGTGGCACAGTGCAGTAAGATAGTGAGAGAGTCAACAGAAGATCCTCGTCGTTCTTAGACGTTTATCCGCTACAAACCATCCAACTTCCAGGGAAAACTACGGCTGTTTAACCCAAGAAGTCTACTAAAAGCCAGTGTTGAAGTGCAAAAATCAATTTATATGACGAAAGACGATAAAAAGACAGCGAAAGAAGAAAAGAAACCAGTTCCTTCGAAAAGAAATGCACCCAAGCATCATCATTTATCTGTAAGCAAATTTAATCTTTTTTCTAATCATAATTTAATTGCTTTACAAGCTTCATCTCTTAGAATTAATTCTCTTTTAACTATTAGTGAATCGATTATTGAACCTGGTGCTGCTTCTATTTCGCAAAATAACTCAGCCTCTCAATTTAGTTTAAAAACCAACGTTAGTTCTTTAAGTAATACTTTAAATAGCTTTGATGTTCCATCTATAATTATTACCTCCGCTAGTCAATTAAATACTATGATCATGGCACCCGCCCTCGCTCTCGTTTTCGATGTCAATAAAGATCTTTCCATCGTACCTGATTACGATGGTAACCCTAATGAACTTCACAACTTCATTGAAGTTACTACCATGCTTGTTAATAATTTTTGATATCTTAATACTCCCGATAACTTTCAAAATCACATGATAACTCGTGTGATGAGGTGTAATGAATAAAATTAAAGGTAGAACTCGAGAAATTATTTCCGTATATGGGTGTAAAGATTGGCCCACAATAAGGATCATACTAATTCAAAATTTTGCCGATCAACGTAATAAAAATTCACTTACAAGAGAGATAGTAAACTTAAGGTAAGCACCCAACAATACTCCTTAACAATTTCACGAGAAGGTAATGTCACTTTTAAACACAATTTCGAATTACACCGAACTACATACCGACAATTTAGATGTAAAGAAGAGCAAAAAGGAATTCTTTTAACAACAGGCCCTAACTAAGTTCTTAGCAGGATTACGAGAACCAATGATCAACCAGGGATCAACCATACGATCAATGAGGCCTACAAATCTTGCGTTCGCTCTTCAATTCATCCAAGAAGAAAATAATATTAGAAGATTAACAAAATGTCCAATACGAAGAAGAAGATGTAAATTTTCCAAAACTCCAAGAGAAAAACCAAGAAACGTAATCGAACTCAATTCCTATTCATACAAAAAAGAACTTCCATATTTCGAAATTAAAAATCCTCACCTTAAACTTCTTCTTGATATAGGGGCAACCAAATTATTTCTTAACCCCGAAACTGCATCCAAATTTAATAAAAAACTTTATCAAACACGAATCGTTTGTAGTCAGTTTAATATTTCAAAACCATTCACAGGAATATTGTGCTGAAATACAATCTTTCCAGAATTTAACTCTAATATTAATTTAAAATTTACCTTTTTAAATTCCATAAAACATTTGATGGTCTTATCGGCCTCGATAACTTAAAACTTCTACAAGCACATCTTAATTACCCAGCATCCACACTAACTACAGCACACTCAGTTCTGCCTATCTTTTATTATGAAACCAATAAAACACAATTTTATACAATTCAATTGGAACCCAGAACAATCTCACAAGTAGGACTTCCAGTAAAACAAACAAACGGCACCATACTCATACCAAAACAAGAAATACAAGAGGCAACTCTAAGAGAAACTCTCAGTTAAGCCTGCAATCAACTAGCCTGGAGTATCACTCACCGATCCTGTTAGAAGCAATCCAATAGATCTTCATGAATATCACCTGTATACTTTAACCAGGATGTGATTTCAGGATGTGATTTCACATCCTGTAGTGAATATACGTACCTGGGAGTAATCTTCGATAGAACGGGAAAAGACGATGAGGAAATAAAGAAAAGGGTTACACAAGCTAGAAGAACAATTGGCTGCCTAAATGGAATACTTTGGAGCTCTGAAATAGGAATAAAGCGAAAATATAACATCTATTAGTCACTAATTAAAAGCAGTGTACTTTACGGAGCAGAAACTTGGAGAATAACAGAGAACAACAGAAAAAAATTCAAAGCTGTAGAAATGGATGTATTTAGAAGATCGTTAGGTATATCCCGCAGGGAAAGAGTTCGAAATGAGGAAGTAAGACGAAGAATTGGAATAGATGGTTACTTAACAACAGACATTGAGAGGAAACAGTTGATTTGGTATGGTCATGTTCAAAGAATGGAAGACACAAGACTACCCAAGAATATTATGCAGTGGGTACCACCAAACCGCAAAAAACGAGGAAGACCCAAAAAGACATGGAAAGAAGGGGTAACTAAAGCAATGAGTACAAGAGATCTTAGAGACGGCCAATGGGATGATAGAAGGACGTGGAAGTTAGGCATCGGACAACGTCGAAAGACGTTCTAAAACCGATATATATACATATATATATATACAGTATTGGAAGATTCAAAACGGAACATACGAATTATTAATACAATTATTAAGATCCCCTGACCTGCAATTACCCAGTCTAAATTTCAATATAACGTCGCGATGTCTTATAATTAATTCATTTGTTCGACTGGATTGCTACTTCTTGGCGATTTCTACTAGCGTATTCGACAGGTGTACGTCGACACTGTTGTCTATCGTCCACTGATTTTCTGTGTTTTTGTGCAGATAATAACAATGTTTTATTAATAACAATTTTTTTGTGTTCATTAGATATTATTTGAATTGGTTAGTGTATAGTTTAATATATTTATTATTCCAAATATTGTTTATAATTTAAAATTTAAAAGGATGTATATGATACATCAAAATCTACAAATTTTTGCCGAAGGTATCTATCGATTTGGCAACAGTCCCAAGGAACATCACTGGCCGAGCAAAACAAATACATGCCCATTGCTTTGCTTCTCATTATAACGCCATAAGCTGAAATAAAAGTAGTGTTTCTAACCATAAACCATGTATACAAACAAAGAAAAAGTACAAATTTTAAAATGTATTGTATCCATTATTGTATAAGCTATAGTTTATATGTTTGTTATTAATGTTGAGTGTCTTAGATTCTTACAAATAATCTCAACGACTAGTAAGTACACTGACATTTTGTGATATATTGTAAATATTTACACATTTTTCTAATTACAGTGTCTTGATAAAGGAATTAAACAATTCCGAAAGCTAGACCAAAAGTCAAAAGAGTGTTTCTGTAACATCCCGGCCAAACTTCTGACTGCAGCCCCAATAAACTTTGTTGTTTGTTTAAATTGACAGTCACGAATATCCAGTATTCATTGTATATATAAATATATATACTTTGGCCATCATTCCTATGAAAACAGAAACAATAATAGAAAGCGATCCTCTCATCAGAAAAGATAATCAAGAAGAAGAGATGCACATCAGATGTTTATGCAGAAAATTTGCAGATATATTCCATAATCCTGATAATACTTTAACATTTCCAAATCAAATAATACACCACATAAGAACAACGGATGAAGTCCCAGTTTTCACAAAATCATATCGATATCCACACGTACATCGAGAAGAGTTTTACAAACAGATAACATCAATGCTGGACCAAAACATCATCAGACCAAGTCAGTCACCCTGGTCATCTCCAATTTGGGTCGTACCAAAAAAACCAGACGCCTCTGAAAAAATTAAATGGAGAATCGTAGTCTATTACAGAAAGATAAATGAGAAAACTATAGACGATAGGTATCCAATTCTAAATATCACGGACATCCTTGATAAACTCGGACGCTGTTAATACTTTTCCACCCTCTATCTAGCCAGTGGATTTAACCAAATAGAAATGGCAGAGAACGGAAAACAGCATTTAACGTGGAAAATGGCCATTATAAATAGAACTAGATATAGAATAGAAATAAAAAAAGAAAAACAAACATCCGGCCTAACTACAGAAGAAATGAAAGTAATAGACGAAGAAGAAAACCAAAAGACTGAAAGTCATCCAACAAAATCGCTATAACAACACGACAACAACACAGATGGTACCCAACATTCTACAGAGGACAACCCAATACTCAGAATTCCAATCAGCTAAAGACCATTGAACTGTTACAACAACCAAATCATATTCAAATTGGTAAATTACAATCCTGCAAAACCTATAACAGAACAGTGCTTCCTAACAAAGAAAAGAATGCACGTCCAACTAGCAAATAACGACCTAAAAAACGATATTTTCAATTTCTTCAAGAACTATGTTGACACAAAAACGAAATATGCCGTCCTATTCGAAACTGATCTCTACCAGTCTATCTGCAACATACTTCGAGAAACACTCAAGAATTCTGCATTTAATTTAGTAAAATGTAACAATTTACTAGAAGCTATTAGCAGTCCAGAAAAACAGAAAACCACCGTACAGGACTATCACCAAGGAAAGACAAATCATAGAGGATTTAATGAAACAAAAATTCAAATCAGAAAACACTATTACTGGTCAACGTTGAAAAAGGATATGGAAGATTATATTAATCTCTGCGATACTTGTCAAACAAACAAATACGATAGCAATCCTGAAAAATGTTATTTCCCACACCAACGAAACCACTGGAAATTGTTCACATATTCATGCATAGTCATAATAAAGACACATTTCAAGCAGCAGGACAAAAAATCCTTACCATCATTGACGCGTTTTAAAAATACGGTCAAGCGTACCCAATAGAAGGATCAAACGCGATCAACATCTTAAACGCATTTCTGCTATTCATCACCTACCATGGACTACCACATATGATAATTTCCGATAGTGGAACTAAATTTAAAAATGGACTTATTCAATATTTCTTGGACACTCGCAAGATCTTAATCCACTACACAACACCTGATAACCGGCAATCCTACGGAATAGTCGAGCGCTTTCGAATCCACAATCATCGAGCATCTTCGAATATTAAAAGAAAAAAAGAAAACACCTAACCTAAAAGACCAGATGCTATACGCCATTATGGCATATAACAACTCTATTCACTCAGCTACCAAACAGAAGCCCATCAACGTCCTTAATGGTCACATAGATGCTCAAGATCCATTCGACATTGACATTAATAGAACACTCATAATAATTACACACAGGAGCACAGATTGAAAACAAAAGAGATGTATAAAGAAATAAATAAGGAATTGTAAGAGAGCAAACAGAAAAACATTGATAAGATAAACGAAAAACGACACTCACCGATGATATATAAACCCAGCACGAAAATTTACATTCGAAAAACAGTAAAACGAAACAAATTGCTCCCCAGATTTTCACGTAAGATATTCAAAAACAACAATCCTGTTACTGTTGATACCCAAGGTACTACGGTGCATAAGAAAAATATTAAACATCAATCACCAGTAAAAACTAACCGCAAAAATACTTTACAGATGTATCTTAGTAACAGCCCAAGAAGTGAAAATCCAGGACCTTCGAAACAATCCAGGGATCCTCCCAGTTAAGTTTGGAGAAGCCAGAATCCTAACTAGCACCCATGATTTCATCCACTATTTCCAACTGGAACCAATAGCACAAGAAATCGAAACATTGGCATATCAATATAAAACTACAACCACAGCTACAGAAAATGGACTAAGTCAGCCGTACTTCGACAGTCTACAGAACGTTAACAAAACATTACAGTATTTTCTTAAAACAGCCCAAGAGCAGTATCTTCTTAAAACTGAAACTCAATTCAGTTTATCCAGCAACCAGAAATAAAAGGGCCCTTATCAATGGATTAGGAAATATTATAAAATCCATCTCAGGAAACTTGGATCAAGAAGACGCAGAAAGATACGATGCCGCAATTCAGTCACTTGATCTCAATTAACAAAATATTATTAACAACATTAATAACCAATTAAGTCTTAATAAGAAAATAATGAACAACTATAACGCGACAGTAACGTGCTAACCCACAATCAAGAGATAATAGCCGCAGAAACCAACAAAATCAGAATAGACTTAAACCAATTCGTCTTTGAATTCAACCATTACATACAAGTTCGAAACGTTTTAGACCAGATGAATTTAGCCTTACAAACCATTATACAAATATTAGATGACCTACAAACAGCAATCACATTCTCAAAAATCAAAACTCTTCTTAATGAACTTATAAAACCAGGCGAAATAAGATGGACTATCCAGAAAATGCTAGAACATCATTGAGCCTATCAGCTACCATACCTTTAAGAAGAAGACCTGATGAGATATTACGAGATAGTAGAAGTAGATGGTTACTACTCCAACCACTCTCTAGTCTTTATCTTACATTTTTCCATTCTTTATTGCATATTTTCATCTATATTCACTTCCAACCATAAAAAACACAATAATTATTCCACCTGGAGCATATTTAGCTTCTAATTCCGAACTTTTCCAATACATGGACCTACCATGCAGAAAAAGTGAACCAAAGAAATTCATCTGTCCAGAGAAGTTCCCGCAGGAAAATACAGAAACCCACGACTGCATCAATAAAATCCTAAAGTTATCCAATGATGCTGCCCAATGTCAAAACGTACCGATCACAGTTAGCACGACAATTATCCAAAAAGTATCGGAAGCTCACTATATTACTGTTTTCCCAAAAACTACTAAAATCTCCACCCATTTTCTACGTCCAAAATTGAAGTACTCAAAGGAGCATTTCTAATAGAACTACTACCAGGATGTGAGTTCAGAACCAACAATGCAGTTTACATTAACTCCAAAGCAACAATTAATAAGAACCGTTAACCCTGCCAAAAATAAAAATCAAACTTCAAGGGGAAGATTCAACAGTAAAGCCTCGAAAATTAGATAGAATCCAATTAGATTAACTACATAAACTCTCAACGGAAGAAGAAAGACTCCAACCCGTGACTTTAAAAACAATCGATCATTACCATCTATAGACACCACCAATATATATCCTGGCAACAGCCTTTATCATTATTTTGGTTTATAAATTACTAGAGATATGGAAAAAGAAGACAACTGAAAAAGAAGAAGATACAGCTGATCTAGAATCCATACCTTCAGTTTTGTTCATCCCTCACAAAACTTCCCAGGAGGATGGAGAAATTACTGTGCAGTAACCGCGAAGATCAGCAATCCCAATCAACAGTTTTGTCAGCAATTAATTTATATATAAAAGAAATAGTATTGTAATTAAATTCAGTTATTTTCGATCAATAAAGCAGTGTAGTATAGTTGTAGAAGTTATTAAAGAGTCTTTTTAACAAGTACCTTCGTGAGTTTAAACCTTTATGTTACTTGATGCATTACTTTTGTCTTAAAATGTTACAAAAGGAAATCCATTAAAATTAGGAAACATATAAAATTTTGAATACTTTCTAGACGGACAATAGTTCAAAGTTCTAATAGATCTGCTAGTTAGGTAGAAATACGTTGTTATCGTTGGAGTAAAATATTGTTTTTGATAATCCTACATTCAGTATGTTTTTGATTATACCTAGATATGTACGGTTCGTTGTGCGTTATAAAAATGTTGTGGATATATATTATTTAAAAATTTGTAATTTTTTAAAATGTGTCTACATTTGACCCTTATCATTCTAATGTTCTCATGAAATTCCTTAATACCAGCTCCTTTCGTGTGGTTAACCGAAATACGTTTTCCAAATCAGAAACCTCAACACTCACCTCGTACCCTTTTCAATAATATGCCCACTCACTAATCTTGCAACTTTGATTTATTTAGCATTGTTTTGGAAATAGTATACTATGATATGTCTAACTTCATAAGCAGGGTATAAATTTAAACAAATTAATTGAAGAGGTGAATTACAAAAGGCGCTAATTTTTAGACACTGTTTAGGAGAACCAAAAACATAATCATAATGAAATGCTGAAACTGGTTTATTTTATTGTGACCTGTCACAATATTGTGACAGGTCACAATATTGTGTAAATTAAATATTACGTTTATATGTGATTAAGTCCCAATTGATTATAATGAAATAAACAAACAAATTAAACAATTAACAAATTAAATTAAATAAATCTTCTTCTTCGTCTAGCCATTCACGTCCACATTTGAACATAAGCCTCTTCAAGTCTTCCTTTCCATTGTTTTTTATTATACGCTACTTGTAGCCAATTTTTCCCTTCAGTCCTTTTCAGATCATCTGTCCATCTCATAGGAGGCCTGCCTCTGGGTCTTTTGTGTTGGTATGGTCTCCAGGTTAAAATTGATCTGTGCCATTTGTTTAGATCGCTCCTAGCTACATGTCCAGCGTATTCCCATTTCAACTTTAATGATTTTTGCACCACATCGGTGACTTTGGTTTTCTGTCTTATCCATGTGTTTGTTTCCTTGTCCTTAAGTGATATACCTAGCATTGCTCTTTCCATCGCGTGTTGAGTGACTAAGTATATTCATATTCTTTTTTGTGATTGTCCATATATATATATATATATATATATATATATATATATATATATATATATATATATATATATATATATATATATATATATATATATATATATATATATATATTTAGGCGATCTAATTGTTTCGGCGCTTGCGTTCTATGAAAACAGAAGCTCACATTCAAACTTTACAACAATTAAAAATTTAGTTATTGCCGACAATTCAAAGAATTACTTCCTTTAAATGTAGTTACATTGGGTTTTTCGATTGTCCTTGGGTAAACCTTTGCGTTTTAAGTTCAAAGCTACCATACATTTCCAACGTTAACAAATAAACTTTTTTGCACATAGTAACAAAAAAACACCACTATGTTGTTACTAGCTAAAGTTTTTTAACATCATAACTCGACATTTCTAAAATTTCACGGTAAGGTAAATGTTTTTTATTAGATAATATATGGTAGCTAATTATAATTTATTCTCTTTCAGCCCTGAAAAAGCCAAATTAATTCTTCTTTGGCGAAAACGTTAGGTGAAATAATTGATACACATTAGATAGATAGATAGATTGATACACATTATTAGTTTACTATATATATATATATATATATATATATATATATATATATATATATATATATATATATATATATATACTTTATATTACTACAATAGTAATTCGCTCTTTTTCATTAAAAATAAACTTTATTGAATAGCTTTTGAAAACACATAAAACAACTGTCAACTTTGGTTAATAATTTATTTTTTCTACTCTCTTACTAGTAAATTGTATATTACCTACTATTTGGATGCTAAGTAAATACATCATAACAGATACTGACACGTAATGACTAGCACGTAATAAAAAAAATTACGCTTCAGTTCTATAAAAATGCATAATATCACATAAGCCTTGTAAGTCAGTTGGTCGAGTTACCATGGAAACGAATTAACAGACGTTATTTTGACAGATTAAAAATTTATAATCTGTCAGTGTAAATATAGTGATAATTTAATTTTTATTTTTATAAACGAAAATAATGGTAGAAAAAGTATAGTACAGAACTTGAGTTGTAAGCTTATTACATGCTTGTAAAATTACTGCGCTCGCCGCTACGCGGCTCGCGCGCAACTTTTTTACTCGCATGTAATAAGCTTCTTACAACTCTCGTTATGTAATATACTATTACATACTTTTTAATAAACTTCAAGCCGTTGTTAGTTTTATGAATTATTGTGAAAATCACAGAATTTTATATTTACTGTGTTACTTTAAAATTATTTGGCACTAAGTTATTTATTTAAGACCTTCATGTCCAAATAAACTACAAAGTTGATATAAGGTTGAGTACTCGAATAAATAAACTTTGGAAACGAAAGGCAAATATCGAGCACAATTTTAACAATTCAATCTTGCCCAAGTACTTTCGCTTAATAAAGCATCTTCAGGGGCATTTCGTCAAATTTGGGCTATCCAGCAAGCATAGAATGTGATAAAACATGAATTTTAACAAAAAATTGTACAAAACACTACACTAAAACATGGATAAACTGTTAAAAATTCGAGAGTTTCTCCTGTTACTGACAAAGAATGTAGAGCGTAGAACCATTTTAATTAATTTTAAACTGTTTGTCCTTGTTTTAGTATAGTGTTTTGTACAATTTTATGTTAAAATTCATGTTTATCACATTCTACGCTTGCTGGTTAGCCCAAATTTGACGAAATGCCCCTGAAGATGCTGTATTAAGCGAAAGTACTTGGGCAAGATTTAATTGTTAAAATTGTGCTCGATATTTGCCTTTCATTTTCAAAATTAAAATACAAAGTATTTTATATGGTTAAACTCATATTGAAGTAAGCATTCCAATAATGGTACAATATTATAGGGTGTTATATTTAAAAAACCAAAATGAATAATTACATCAAAAAAAGGTACAAAAGTATCAAATTTGAAATCTTCATATTGCTGAATAGGCGTATCCTGGTTTTTGTACAATTCGGACCATCCATTTATACTGTATTTCACGAATTTATGCCTGTTTTGGATGATCGCTACACAAACCAATGGCCAACTATACTGTACAGCATAAGAAATATGAAACACCCATTTTATAAAATAAAGCATTTCAAGAAATAGATATTTGGTGCTTTTAGCTAAATTCTACATGAATCGCCCGAAAAACCAGAAAATGCTTCACTTACTATACTGATGAATTTGTTTCTTGCTTGAAGTACACTTTTCAGAAATAGAGGTCAGATAGCTCTCGTCAAAGTATTGATGAGAGCATGACGAGGTTTAAGGGCCGAAGCACATTGAAACAATATATTTCAAACAAACTTATAAAAAGTGGAATAAAGGCATGGGTTAGATCTGACTCTGGTACAGGTTACACATATTATATAAATATATACAGTGGAGAAGAAATCCAAAAATTTGAAGGTACCTAAAGGGGCCAATTTGTACACACACTCTCAAGTACGATAAAAGACGATAATGTCGTTTAAGCTTTCGAAAGATTTTTCGCTGATGTAAAACTACTTCAAGAAATCAAGTTTCCAGCTATTGGGGCTGTCATAAGGACCAGAAAAAATATGCCTCTCCTCGATAATAAGTTAGTCAGAGTTCGTTTGCACAAAGCAAAGATACGTTTGGTAAAGAAGCTTTACCAAAGTTCATGTTCGAAACAGATCTGTAGCAAGACCTTCAAAGGGAACGAAGAATATGACAAATGTGGGGGATCGTTTACCAATCATAGAAAAATCTCGTCGTCGTTGTACGGTGTGTTCTGTAAGAAAATTAGGTAACAGAAACACAAATGATATGTTAAATGTATCAGGTAGGTACCCTTTTCTAAAGAATACTGTACTCCTCACCATTTATAAAAATATTTTGTTACTTATACTGTGAATTATTATTGGATAAATTCAAAAGAAAATTATTTTTAAGGTTTTTATTTTATTTAATAAAAGGTTGAAATCTGTTGAAAAATTTCGATATCATTGGGATAATCGTCCCACTAAAAAAACCATTGGGACAATTATATCCCGGGATAAAAGGACTCCAAACTTAATTAATAAAAAAAATATTAAAATCAAGGACATCCTTAGAACCGCATTATATGACCAAATGATAAATATTAGTTTTTGGTGAGAAAAAAAAGCGGGGTATAAAGGGTTAAGAGATAATTAGGCATTTATATATGAATTATGCGAATTAAATCGCACTTCAAAACTAACCTATAAACTAATAGAAATACTGGATTTTATTTCATTATGGTATTAGGTTTTTCTTGGTGAATCATAGAGTCGGACATTTTATACAAATTGTGACAAATCATAAAATAAAAAGGAAGTACTTAAAAGTCAATTAATACAAAACAGGTTCCGCCTACTTCACGCCAACTAATTAAAATACTAGTCCAGTACGATTATTGAGATAACACGTTTAGTACCGCCTTCCCAATTGATATATTCGGATATTAAAATTTATTGGCATGAACTCACTCAATATTAAACCTTACTGGCGAGTACTTTTTAACCGGTTGAAACGAATTTTATTCAATAAATTAAAATGTTTTAATGAAATCATATTTTTAAATGCATTTTTTAATTTCTTTTTACCGGGGTTTAACCCCTACATATTATTTTTTTTTATTTAGAGAAAATTATTACACCAATCATAGGTTATTAACGACTAGGTAATAAGATTTGCTAAACCTAGTGATATATTGTCGCTTGGATGCAGAAGTAGCCTATGTCCATTTTTGCCTAATTTGATATTTTAGGTCCATTTGAAAGTAAAAGCATCATTACATTGGATGCAGAAGTATTGTATGTCCATCTTTACAACTAGCGCTCATATCGATCAAACCTCGAACTAGCCTATGTTCAGTAACGTTATTAGTTAGTTTTCATGCAGAATCAGTCTATGTAAGGGCGGAAATACATCATTCAATTCGGTTGAACAATGTGGATGATTCAATCAAAATGAACCATGCATTTTGCAATTCAATAAAAGCGTTCAACAAAATTGAACGTTAAAATGAGTTGAGATAATTTCTACTTTCGTTCAACTTCGTTGTACAACTGGGATGATTCATCCACATTGACCCGTTTATACAAGTTTTGTCGATTGTGTTCGATTCAACCGTTTATTTCATCGAGTTAGAATCTTTTCATTTTGACTTGTGATATAATAAGTTCCGTACGTATCATCCACATGTTTCGAATCATCCACATTGTTCAACCGAATTAAATGAAGAATAAATTGAAGCGTGTATATGTATGCTTTTCAATTTGATAGAACAATGTAACTAAATCATCCACAT